TTTTTTTGTTAATTAAAAAGAGCATAAACTGTAGCATATTGATTCCTTTTCTTTTTGCTTTAATGTATCTTAAGAGCCTGTAAATGGTTTCCCATATACAAAAATGGATTAATCTGTAAGTAAGATAAAGTATTTCTCTTCATTAAGGTAGTTGTTTTACAGCACTGCTGCATTAGACTCTATTAGTTTTAGCTAGGTCATCTAATAAACTGGGAGCAGAGTGAACTTTCTTAGTATTTCTCTAGTATGTTAACAGACATACAATATTAGTTATAATAGATATAATGTGCATTAATACATCCACGTGTCTCCCAAAGTTTTGTTTTTACTGACTGGAGGTTTTTGCTTCACACTGTGTGCAGCAGATAATGTGAATGCTATGATTTGTATTTCCTGTCTTAATATGTGAGGAAGAGCCCTAAATTATGGCAAACATGCCTTAAATTAAAAATCCAACCAGGGATTTTGCAAAAGTAGAAAAGATAAATTCCTGGACACTGTCAAACTGACAAAACATTCATTCACAATGTTTTGGTCCTGCATGCTACAGTTATGTTGTATACCTATTAATGATTCTGTGTCCCTGCAGACATTTGATACAAATCTGTGATATAAACATTACAATGATGACATTTCTTTCCTCTCTCTGTTTTTATACTCAAGCCCAAAATAGTTGAGGCGCTCCTCGGCTATGAGCTGGTTCAGGTGTCGTGTGGTGCTTCCCACGTACTCGCTGTGACCAATGAAAGAGAAGTATTTGCCTGGGGAAGAGGAGACAATGGTATCGTAAATTAACTGGTTGTTCTTAAACTCACTCAATCTATCTTGGTATTCATCTTTTTGGTGTTTGTTTGTGTCAGACTGATTTATGACTCACTTCATGAATCACATCAGCACACAGCTTGATTGTTGGGTCTGTGTTTCTGTTCCTGTGTCTCAAAGGTCGCCTCGGGCTAGGCACCCAAGACACCCACAACTCTCCTCAGCAGGTATGTTTACCTGTGGAATTTGAGGCCCAGAGGGTGGTGTGTGGAGTTGACTGCTCGATGATTATCAGCACCCAGCACAGCATCGTGGCATGTGGAAGCAACAGGTAGTTACTTCATATTTTCACACCCGAAACTGTGGTCATTAGTCTCTGTAAACATGTCACTGTCTGACATGAGTTAATAATCACCTGTGAAACATTTCACTTCACATTTAATGAGAAAACATTGTATGTTTTCTATGGAGGACATGTTTTGATGATGAAGTGATCTTTTATTTTACTCTCATAGGTTTATGTTATAAACTGATTCATTCATTCATTCATTCATTCATTCATTCATACAGGGTGGTGATAGAGATACTTTCATGGTGCGCAACCTGTGAGGCAGCATTCTACTAAAATGACAAAGACTGTTTTTGTCATTGTTAATCCTTCTCTCTCAGAGAGGTTTTGGACCGGATTTAGAGCTGTGTAGGAGTCAAGAGTAGCAACAGTAAACACAACAGCGTTCATTTCAGGTTGGAGTAGAAGCAGCTTTGTTCACATACCTGCAGCTCAGCAGACACCTGCAGCAGACAAGGAAATATGAATAGAAAATGTTAACGGTATTTGTGATAAATATAGATAATATATTGAAGGAGTGGTTTGAAATGATAGAATAAAGGCAATTGTCCTCTATTCCTCTGTTACAGATACCTTGATTTTGTTGTTTTGTTGTGGTCAGGTTCAACAAGCTCGGGCTGGATAAAATAGCAATTGGAGAGGAACCAAATCCGTCAAATCAGGTGGAAGAAGTCCATTCTTACGCTCCGGTCCAATCAGCCCCGCTCAACAGTGAGAAGATTGTTTACATTGATATTGGGACAGCCCATTCTGTTGCTGTTACAGGTAAAATATTATTAATCTATCTAATCAAATTCTGCCTCCATAATGGTACTAAATAAGAGAAGATACCAGATAAAGCGGAAGGCTGCTTGGAAAGATTACTTCGAGCATGTTCAACTTGTGCTAAATCTTAAAGCTAATCTTTTTTTTCCACACACAACTCTTCAGTCAAATCAAACATGGTTTCATTTATTGTGCCCAAGAAATTTGCATCACCACTTTAATGCACATTTTCCTTGTCCAGAAAAGGGTCAGTGTTTTACCTTTGGCAGCAACCAGCATGGCCAGATGGGCTGTAGTTCACGTCGTAGCAGCCGCGTGCCCTACCCGGTGCCCGGGCTGCAGGGCATCACCATGGCTGCTTGTGGAGACGCTTTCACCTTAGCTATTGGATCTGGTGAGTAGAAGGGACTATATGTGAAAGCTCTGTTTTTAAAGGCCCTGCACACCTCCATAGTGGAGACCTTTGCTCAGGTTGAAAATGGGCAGACATACGTGAGGTCTTGAACTACTAAGAACCATAAAGATGTTACTTGTCCCACATAAGGGGTGCGACAAAGCTAACAGGAGAATCAACGAGACATCAGCCAAGCACAGTCTCACGTGGCGTGGCAGAAGGCAGAAGGCAGGATGGGACAGGAAATATTGTGTGCAGGCAACATAAACTGCCAGGAGCTAGCGTGGCAAGTGGGTTAACAACATCAGTCAAAGCTTTTTATCAAAGATATTACTGTTATTATGAATGAAAAACAAAATCCAGTCTGAGTGAACCATTAGAGGAGGTGAAATCATCTGTGTGGATGTAGCAGGAGGTGTGCAGGGCCTACAGTCACAGTCACTACTTGCGTTCAAGAAAACCCTGAATCTGAAACTTAACAGCTGTTGAAAAGCATTTCATACATGCCATGTTGTTTGGTATTTAACTAAATAATATTCACACACACAAATGTTCTGATAAGTATGATGTGAATTTTATGGTTTTGCATAAAATGTTTTTTGTTCTGCTGCTGACTCGAGACTGCGGTTACCAACAATGGCAGCATTTTCAAAAAGTCTTTATTTTCCCTCATTGTTCATCCCAAGCGAACAAAACAGGGTTCATCTCAGCTCTGAGTTTAGACAGCATTGCTCAGATATCTGTGGTTGAGCTGCTTTGGAGGAACAGAGGAGGATTCTGGGATGCGGAGGGTGTTGCATTTTCATGAGAGTCACCCAGGTTTAACAGTTACTGCGAGCAGCTATGTGACCACACAACAGTAGTGTAACTTTAGCTCAAAAACAAATATGATTAAGTGTTCACTGTGATGGAAGTTTATTTTCATGTCAAACTGAAACAAACTAGAAGTTTAAAAGCAATAGTTATATGGAACATACAGTGTGGTTTGGAAAAAGGGTTAGCAGTAATGTAAACTACACAGATAATAGGCTAAACACACAAAACCATCAGTATGGTTCTTTAAACACATGGCTTAACAGATAGGTAACAGATGTGTGTATGTGTGTTTATACTTGTGTGTCTGGAAGTGTGTGTTTTGTTCTTTAAGCCGAGGATAAAATGGTAAAATGTCATATTGTGCCAGCGATTGGCTCCCTGGGGAGAAAGCCAGCGGTGCCAGTCATGCTTGTAGGTTTTCTTTGTTGAGGGAAGTCTTTGTTCAGCTTTGACTTCCTACAGATAGAGCCATTATGCTGCCACTGCAGGAGAGGCAGAGCTGTCAGTTAAAGATTTTTGTGGATTAATGCATCCTGAGGTTTGTGCTGTGAATGTGGAGAAACGGTGACCAGCTCCTTCTTCTCCTGCTTTCTACAGAAGGGGAGGCGTACACCTGGGGAAAGGGGGCCCGCGGTCGCCTCGGAAGAAAAGAGGAGGATTCTGGGATACCGAAGGCGGTGCAGCTCGACGAAAGTCACCCATTCGTGGTGACATCAGTGGCTTGTTGTCATGGCAACACTCTGCTGGCAGTGAAACGTAATATTTCGCTCATTACCCCTTTGTTAACAAACACTGTGAGATGTTGGGATGTGGTGAAATCTAACTGAGAGGGTACTAATCCCCAGATGAAAGACAGGCTGAACTTGAGACAAGCTTCTCTTGATAATGTCGACAGAGACGCATGTTTTTCCGTGCAGAATTGTGAAAGGACTCATTTGTAAGTTTGAAAGCTGACTGGCTAAAGCTTCGTTTCATACAGTCATACACTGGCGGCGTGTCAAAGCGCTCTTTTCACATTAACAAACTGCTTACTTTCAGCTACACTCTGCAAACTCGATCACAACCTTTCTATCTGCGTGCCAGTAGTGATAATTCAGTCCAACCCTGCATCGTCGCTGTTGATTTTTAGACTGTCATGCCATAGACCTCTTACTGAGAGGAATGGAAAGCACTTTCTCCCGGCAGTGACGGTGCAAAAGCCACATATTCTAATGAAAACTGAAGAACAGTGAAGGTGGGATTAAATCCTCCCTCTACACTCCAAATTGAAAATAGCTGCAGATTTAGAGAAGATTAAACTGCATCACAGTTTAATAAGTAGCAGACATGTTGGTAATCCTGGCTACAGGCTACAGCGCTGCTGTTTAAATGTTTCTTTGACCTGCACTGTGTGACAAGGACATGGAGACCACATGGACACAGATAGAGGTCATTAGCAGGATCTACTTAATAAGCATAATACTAAACCTTAATACAACAGTCCGGATGACAGTGCTGATATATGTTTTCATGCACCGTATATACTTTTTATGAGGATTTAAATTCAGTGTATGAACACTTAAAACCCCCAAACTCAGTGATTTTATGAAAGAATTAAATTCATACTGTATCAAGAACACAAAACTGTTCACTTATTCTACTTACAGATCCCCCTCTGTAGTCAGTTCAGTTAGATGTTAAAGCTGACTTTTGTTTCTAGTTAGATTCAGGTGTCACTGTACAAATGTATTTCAAAGTCTCCATGTTGTCTGCAGATATTGAAGATCTTGAAATCATTTTATAACAGATATTTTTAAGTATGTGTCCACATTTTTATTCAAAACATAATTTAGACTGTCATCAGAGACTAAAACTCTTCACCACACCTGTTCAAAGCCACAGAATTAACTATTCATTCATTCAGTCAATGCAACAAAAAACCATTAGGAATTCAAAGGTAGTGCAGGTGTAACTGTACAATCTTTCTTGTTCAGGAATCCAATAAAGTTATTGGGATTTCTGCCTGCCAAGGACTCGCAACACCGCTGAACGCTCCCTTTAAAATTTCAATTTATTTCTTCAGAAAAAGTACAAGGTCTCAGTCCCAAATTAAAAAACGGAACAAATGTAATTTAAACAAGTTAACTTTTAAAGAACGTTTCTAACAGTAATGTGTGTCCTTGTGGGAAGGTTAAGCTGTATAGCAGTGTATGTGGACAAACACAACAAGCTTGTATAGATATTTAATAAACTGTTAGCCACTTTCTCATTGATCTAATTGATTTATCAACTAGAGATTTACAAGAGAACTCATGTGCTGACATTTATGGCAGCAACTAATGATTATTTTGATCGATTAATCTGTTGATTACTTTCTCAATTCATTTACGAATTGTTTTCTCATCTTCAAATTCCTCGTTTTATCCGACCATCAGTCCAAAACCCAAAGATATTCAGTTAACCATCATAGATGACGAAGAAAAGCAGCCAGTCTTCACAGTTACAAAGATTGAACCAGTACATTTGGCTTTTTTCAATCAATTAACTGACTAATCAGCTAGTAATTGCAGCTCTACTGACGTTTTACCCTTGTCCCTTTCTCCCTCGTTTCAGCTTTGCTTGAGGAACCTGTCCCGAGATGATTTTGTCCTGAAAACGAACCCCCCTCAGCGCTGGCGATGGAATGAGGTGAAGGACAGCTTCCTCTGAATAACTCCTCCCAGAGGCCCATCTGTGCTGCAGTTGAAAGATTCCCTTTCATACTGCAGCTGCGCCCTCAGGCTTTAACTTAGTCTTCCTCTATCTAGTGTTTTTTTTCCTCCTCCAGGAATGAATGTTTGTTTCATTCGGTGGTTTGATATCATGGAGCAAGGGTCAAAACCTGTGTGTGGCAGCAGGTGTATGTCACAACAGGTTAGTCTAGGGGATGTTGCAACACAGTCACTGAAGCTGGATTACAGGAAGTCATTAGGCAGCTTTCATGTGGTGAACTATTGTCCTCTCTCACATGCAGGGTTAGCATGATAAAGACCAGTAAAAGCCAAACTGGTTTGAGCTCTCTTAAGCCCACTGGTGAATGACGATACAATGCACATGGAGGAAAAGAATGAAAGACACTTGAGTGTTAAGTAACTCATCAGTCAAATGAACCAAACACATTAATCTCTATCACATCGTCAGTGGTCACATTGTGCTTGATTGGATTAGTCCTCCAATACTTTTGTAGCTTGAGAGCAGCTTTCAAACCAGATAACGATGTGTTGTTTAGGGTTCAGGTGTTTGTCTAAATGAGTGTGTCTGAAATCACACTGCTCCCTATATAATACACACTTAACATTTTATAACGAGCAGTGGGGTAAAAAAACTGTTGTGTTTTTGGAAAATTCTGTGTTATAACTCACTGTAAATGTGTATTATATTAGAAATGAGATTATGTATAAATATTGTGTAAACTGTATTCATAGGATGACCTAAGACTGCCGAAACAAAAGCCAAAATGTGCCTATCAGTGGTGAAAGAAGGACTCAGGTCTTTTACTTAAGTAAAAGTATAAATACCACAGTGTAGGAAGAAAACAATCCTGCATTAAAATTTTTACTTTAAACCTACAAGACGTTTTTAACTGGTTACGATACAGTCCTAATTTAATACTGGCGCCCCAACGTGACCTACATAAACAAACAAGACCATCAGCGAGAAAACAGTTTCTCCGCGTATTCCGCATGTTTCGTAGTTCCTCCTTCGCGCTTGGAAGTGGAGGGTGAGGTGAGGGAGTTGCTATCTGCAACTACACAGCTAGATGACACCAAATCCTACACACTGGACCTTAAAGTAAAAGTACAAAAAAACCTCCAAATACACTCAAATACTAAAAGTAGAAGTACTAGTGCAAAATGGCCCCTTTCAGAATAAGATATATTATAATAACAGTATAGTATAGTAATATAATATAGTAGTATAGTATTTACTATAGTAAAGCTGGAGCTAATTTTAATTGCTTTGTACACTGCAAGGTGCCTTAATCTATAATAATGCATTATAATTTGATTGTTGATTATATTCTGTATTGATAATTTAATTAGAAGCTTAAGGTACCAAATAAATGTAGTGGAGTAAAAAGTACAGTAAATCCCTTTGAAATGTAGTGGAGTAGAAGTATAAAGTACCATGTAATGAAGTAAATGTATATAGTTACTGCCACTGGTACCAAGGAGTGTACATCATTTATAAGTATTTTTATATTAACTTTTTCTACAATATCGTCATCACCAGTTACCATGACATTTTCTGGTGTTAAAGCTTTTATTGTCAAACCTAAAAGAAGGAATGATCTTAACAGGTGTCTGTTGGATACATAAAACATGCAACCTGACTTCTGTGATAAATCTTGTGTTTTATGAGAAGATGGTTCACTGTAATGTCTGCAGAAAGAGAGTTAGTCTGTTACCTGCTCTTCTTCAGTGCTGAAATGTTTGTATTGGCTGCTGACAGACTGAAAATGAAACATCTTTATCATGACTGTGTAGGTTGACTTTAAAATAAATAGTAGTCAGCAGTTTAAAATGAACCTGTGGTATAAAGCTGGAGTTCACAGTGACAGTCTGATTACCTTTGTGTAATTCTTCCCCATTATTCTCACATTAATCACCCACTCACACATTAATCTGTGTAATTGCCACAGAGCTGTCATTGTTGTTACACCGTAGATTAATATTCATTTTTCCCTAATAAGAAATCACCTATTTTTCTAAATGTAATTACGTGTTTACAGTATTTTACTCCTTATTCAAGATGTGTTCACACCTTTCTCTGAGGACACGGATCGATTACCATTGTTGTCTCGTGTGATGATGTAATGATGATGTAATCCGGTGGCAATAGAGCAGGTGAAAAATGATCCATACATGTGTCTGTATGTAGTATTTCTACTTCCATTAAACGATGCAGACCCGCAGTTTGTTTGTCTGTTTAATGAGTGTAATAATGTATGTGAGGGGTTATTTTAACATGTATTTAGAAACATTTTAAGATGAAATAAAGGGAGAGCATACTGTATTTATTCATTGTGTATGTTCTGCTCTACCACCAGGGGGCACCTCTCACTCTACTTTAGGCTCCTGTAGTAGGTCACTTTTAATATTTATTTGAAGTAAACCTTAACAACAAAACCCTCCTCGCCTCTTACTTAACTAATTAAGACTAAATATTTTAAATACCTCTAAAGTCATGCCCAGTTTGTGCACACACATTAACATACAAAAGCCTTCTATCTGACAAATAAATAATAAACATTAAACAAGAGCATGAAAACAAACAACGCATTTCATTAGAGGGCCGCTGCAGCCGCACAAAAGCCCCATTAAAGATCCATAAAGAGCGATCAGAGGGATAAAGATGGTGTGAACTGACTGTTTCAGCTCCTTGACTCCTCCTGCATGGAAGGAGGAGGCGGGACTCGGTGCACCTAAACAGACGGAGGGGTTGTGCATTGTGCTCAGTGTGTCAGTGCTGCATCCACTGAGGAGAGAGAGGGCCACACACACACACACACACATCACGGCCACATTAACCCCGAGCTGTAAACCTGCACACACACAGAGAGAGAGAGAGAGAGAGGACGAATCTGTGACCATCTCTGCAGCCTTTCCCCGGACTGTCTACCGCTTTTGTTGCCATCAGTCGCCGGGGCTGCACGGGAGGAGAAGCTGGAGGGGGGTGGAGGAGGAGGAGGAACTCGCCTCCTTTAAAGCCCGATCGGTCGGCGGCGGAAGGGACGTGATATGAACCCCTCATCGGCTTGAACGGCAGTGCAGCTAAATAGCCCCGTTTTCCAGGAGGGGGGTGGGGGTTGTTTAACGGAGGATCAAAAAAAAAAAAGAGGACATTTCTACCTTTAACCTGCAGCTGAAGGCCGGGAGGAAAAGCCCCCACGGAACCTGTAGCGATGCCCGGGTTTGATTACAAGTTTCTGGAGAAGCCAAAGAGACGGTTCCAGTGTCCGCTCTGCAGCAAGGCGATGCGGGAGCCGGTCCAAGTGTCTACCTGTGGACATCGGTTCTGTGACACCTGTCTGCAAGAATTTCTAAGGTACGGCGTGTGTTTGTGTGTGTGCAGACGAGAGATCCACCTCGCTGCAGGCGATACCGGAGAGTACAGCCCTTGTCTAGTTTCGGTCGAGCAGCAGTAAATAAAGGATGTGTAGGTGTGTCCTCCTCACCTTTCCTCAGCAGGGTTTTTATATTAATTTTTTAGTCCTGTGATTAGTGTAGCAGCACAATGACTGGGACAGTGCATGGGGCCTGGTGAAACTGCACATGTATTGAACTCCCTTCCTTTTTTTTTTAGTTGCAGGTGTTAATTCCCCCTCTGCACATATGCAAGGATTTGAATGCATTTGCGAGCCACTGTGTCAACATAAACATGACTGAGGATCCGGTTATTTTGGCTCAGTCATGCAGGTATTTTCTTGAGAACAGGTAGAGGATGTTGTCATTGTTCTGACAAAGGAAAGAAGCTTTTTGTTGTGGCTGCATCATGCATGGGTCAAAAAAAAAAGAAAAAGAGAGAGAGAGAGAGAGAGAGAGAGAGAGAGAGAGGCTTGCACTGATGGTAGTTGTCCAGTTTTAACTCCTTCAGTCTTTTAGGGTGGAGTGGTTTTAGTGTTAATATCCTTCATGTTGTGGTGTTTGTGTCCTGCAGAGGGCCCCTGCCTCCCCATCCTGTCTGTTTTTGCCCCCAAGGGGTAGCTGAGTCTGCATGGGTCACAGGGTTGAGGATGATGAGGTTGAGGATGTGTGTGTGTGTGTGTGTGTGTGTGTTTGAGAGTCTGCCCCCCTCCTCACCTCCTAATCTGCTGAAGTTTTTGTGAAGACTTGTAGAAAGAAAGTCTTTGTTTTCCCCACACTGTCCTAAAACAGTCAATAATTATTACACACACACAAAGGAAACTCGTGTGATTCACAGAATCTCAGTTTTAATACCAACAACAACAACTTACCTGCAAAGTGTGTCTCCCAGTCATTAAGTAAACTTCTATAAGACGCAGCAGACAGAGTGACTGTGGGTTTATCTCTCTATGTGTGGTGTTTACCAGCAGTCAATCACAGAGTTCTCCATGTGCAGAAGAGCTGTGTGCAGTCTTTTAGGAGGTTGATATTCTGTATGGACATAAACAATTTGTGCTTTTATTGAAGTCTGAAGATAAATGAATCATATGTTATGTCTTGTTTATCTAGAAGCCAAAGATCTTTAATTGCACAGATGTAAATGGTGTTCTCGGGCACATTCAATCATGTTCAGGAGGTAAACAGATAGGAAAAAAAGAAAGTGAGTCCAGTTTTCTTTACAGAACAAACTAGGGCCAGCAGATAAAGATGATTGGTTGTCTTGCTCATTATTTGCTTGATTAATCGATTCATCATTTTGTCTAAAACGTGTAATATAACAACAAATAACAAAAAAGAAATGTCTATCAAAGATCAAACTTTCCCAGAGTCAAAAGTGATGTCATCAAATGTATTGTTTTGTTCTCCAACAGAACCAAAGGTATTCACTTTACTTTCATATAAAACAGAAAATCCTCACATTGGAGAACCTTGAACCAGAGAATATCAGCAAATTAAGCAGAGGATTAATTGATAATCTGAATAGCTGCAGAGTAATTGACTAATTGTTTCAGTTCTAGTACAAACTATGATGGTTCAAGGGAGAAATTAAGCAAATATGCCAGAAATGTCAGTATCAGCCTCTCAAATATAAAGATTCCCTGCCTTTTCTGTGTTTATATCATCATAAAGGGAATATCTTTTGGGTTTTTGGACTGAAAACTGGCGTATCTGACTCATATGAGTTCATGGTTCCTTAGAAGCCTATGCAGGCTGGACATAGTTGTGTATGCATGATGTATTCTCTATTCACACACAGAGCAACCATACTGTTGTTTTCCTATTATTGAGTCATATCTAGCTGATACAGAAGAGCAACCTTTGTGTTGCAGATGAACACAATCAAATCAAAGCTTTAGTGATGAAAGATAAACGGAGAAAGACAAAACAGAAACTTGCTGTCTGTTCATCTTTGTTTGAGTCACTCTGTGGAGAAGTTAAAGCCTGAAAGCTTTAAAATATAGTTAAATATAGCATTTTAATTGTTAACGTCAGATTTACAGCCCATTAAAACACTGCGGCTTCTTGTATTTCCACTGAGAAATCAACTCAATCTGACTGTTTTATTTCAGTTGGTCTTATTTAAATGTAACCAGTGCTGAAAAAATCTTAAGATGTCTTCAGCTTTACTTCATGAAACTTGGAGACATCCTGAGGGAAACTCACAAGCAAATAAAACAACACTTGCCGTCAGCAAAAATGAATATCTAATTAAATATTAAAATATCTTTTATCAACTTTTTATGCTTTTCAAAACCTTCTTGTGTCAGAAAAACCAGTCTACTAGTCGACAGGAGAGATGTGGAGATGTGAATTCATGTTCTGAATACATAAACAACTCTCGTCGTGAGCTCCTAGTTTTCAGCACCTTGAGTCATCAGGAAGCCTCCTATGGCTCACTAAACAGCAGCAAATTGCATCTGGTTGAAAAGCAGAAACTCAGATGAACAAAGAGAGCGAGGGAGGAACAGTGTTCGCTGCTGATCAATGAGTTTGGCCCGACGCTTTGTCTGCCTCATCCTGCCCGCCTCTGCCTCCGTCCTCAAGTTTACGGTCTTTTTTTTTTTTTTTTTTACTCCCACATACTGACTGAATTTAACTAAAGTTTCCCAACTTCTGAAACTTTTTGTTGAGTAACTGTTCCTGTTTAGTCGGGATGTGAGTACAGATATGAGTCTGATTCCTCCCTGTCTGACCTGCATGATGTGAAGTTATGGAGCAATACCTGTGTTCAGAAATGCCACTTTCTAACCTCTTGTAAAGGAGTTAAAGCTCGTACGTAGTGGCTTCATTTATGGTTAGAAAATTATTTACTAATGATTTATGCTATAGATGAGTTGTAACTTATCAATAATCAGAACAACCTTTGACTGGTGAGATCATGTGACCACTTATTTCTAGAAAAGTCTGGGCCAAAATCAATTTATTTACAATTATCAGCACTTATAACTTCAGATTTGTGGATTAAAACACTTTGCAGACATGATAATTAAATAATAATTTACAACATTTATAATTGCATTATTACCAAATGGAAAGTTTTTCACAAAGTGGCAACCTAAAAGTATCTAAAAAAGCCATGTCAATGATTTATTAACCATTAATAGGGCCATTAGTTCCAACTTATAAACTTTTCATAATGTGCCTCATTAAAAACGTGGTACCTCATTATCATTAAGTGGTTGAGATGTCTGAACAACTTGTTACAATCATTCAGATTTTCCAGATAATCGACATCTTGATGTAAAAGATCACGCTGTCTCCAAGTTAAATCAGAGATCCTGGTTCACTTCTCAGATAGAATAAAGCATAAATAAACATTCATATCAACAGCAGTTGGTATTTCAGCAGCTCTTCCATCTTCACTAACTTTCACACAACAGAAAGAAAGCCACTGCCAAGGTGAGCGGCTGCGTATTCACCTCTTTAATTAACAAAGCGTGCCAGCTGAAGCCAGTTTCAGCCCTCTCGGCCATCGAGCACGCTCTTTTGTGAGGAGGGTTCGAGTTTATTGAGGCTGACAGACAATAGTTAGCTAATGCTTTGCCCATTGTGCAACTAGGTTGATCCTATTCCTGTAATTATTGAAGGCTGTGTAACATCCAGTCCGGGCTTGCCAACCGAGTCTGCCCACTTTCACATTGACAGCTCTCTCACTGTCTCTGGAGTCCGCTGCTCTGTCGAAACAGGCCACCTAAGAATGCTACTGCATGGCATAGCTTCAGAGTTAATTATGCTCTCTCAACAGCAAATCAAATATTACTTAATGGTAACACTTTACTTTAACTCCCCCTATTTAGCCATTATAAGGAGTAT